GTTTTTGAAGGGCTTTGGAATTTGTTTCTTTTCGGCCTTCCGACGGCCCAAGACGGTCCAAGAGGGCCCCAAGATCGCCCCAAGATGGTCCTAAAGGCCTCCAAGATGCCCCCAGAACGGCCCAAGAGGCCCCCGAAACGGCCCCGAGAGGGCCCCAGGATGGCCCAGGAGGCCTCCAAGTCGCCCATGGTGGCCTCCAGGACGGCCCTGAAGCGCCCTAAGAGGGCCCCAAGTCGGTCCAGAAAGGCCCCCACAACGGCTTCCGACAGCGTCATACGGGCCAAGACTGCCAAGAAGGCCCACAAGAACCCCCAAAAGGCCCCAAAGAGGCCCAAGGTGGCTTCCAAGAAGCCTCCGAGAGGCCCACGAGAAGCTCCCAGAAGGCTCCAAGAGTCCTCCTCCTCCTCCTCCTCCTCCTCCTCCCCCTCCTCCACCTCCCTCCTCCTCCTCCTCCTCCTCCTCCTCCTCCTCCTCCTCCTCCTCCTCCTCCTCCTCCCCTCCTCCTCCTCCTTTTCCTCATCCTTGTCCTCCTCCTCTTCCTCCTCCTCCTCCTCATCCTCCTTCCCATCCTTCCTCCTCCCTCCTCTCTCCTCTCCTCCTCCTCCCTCTCCTCCTCCTCCTCCTCCTCCTCCTCCTCCTCCTCCTCCTCCTCCTCCTCCTCCTCCTCCTCCTCCTCCTCCCCCTCCTCCTCCGCTCTGTGTGTCATCCCTCTCCTCCGCTTCTTCTTTCTCCCCCGCGTGTTCCTCGAAGGGTTTCCACAACGGCTGGGGGAACACATGGTCGGCTGGCCAACGTTCGGCCACATGGGCGATTCCAAAAGGTAGGGGGCGGCGATGGTTATCCGTAGGCGTCTTCGATAATGGTGCGTGTTGCTGTTGTTAAATTTTGTCGCCATTGCAGCGGGCTTGGCATGACTTGAAGCGCTAGTGCAGCCACGATGTTGTTTAGCCAGCGCCATTGCAACGGACGTGACGCCGAATGCCAGCAAAGAAAAACTCTACAACATGGCTTGAAAGTACTTCTCGACGCGAATTGGGAAACGCATGCCACGCGTGGCATCACTCCGCACCCCCGATATCCTTGCCTGCGAAATTCACAAGCTCTTCCTAAAAAGACGTTGTGATCGTAGTCTTTACCAGTGGTACTGTCTTGAGTGACCGCGAAAACTGACTCGAGATCGACAGAAGTAAGCAGGCACTGTCGAGCTATGAAACGCTGGTCACAACACAGGGTGACTGTCATGCGCGGACAAAAATCAACTGATTAAGATTATTCGTGCCGAGTGGTTGCGCACACCGCCATCGCGAGGGCAGCCCCATGCACACGTGATAAAAAGTGTGTGCGCTCTGGCGCACGGCCTTTTCCCGATGGAAGACACCAGGCCGCAGCTTGCAAGAATAAACCCTGCGACTGATCAAGCAGGGCTGCCAGAAACCACCTAAGCCCAAAGGCCCTGTGGAATTAGTTCTAGTCGGTTCCCATCGGCTCGAATCTGTTTGGACCGGCTCCCATCGTTTCAATCGGCCTCCAATCGGCTCCACGCGGATATATGGTTGTCGATCAGCTCCTGTGGGCCTCAATTGGCTCCGATCGCCTCGAATCTGGTTCAACAGTCCCCTCTCGGCTCCAGTGTGCCCTCCAATTGAGCTCAGAGGGGCTGACAAAGGGACAGGGGGAGGAAGTACTGGGCAATTGAGATTCATGCTCCCCCACCTCCTCTTCATGCTCCCTCACGATCCTTCCTCTTCACCTATCGTAACCTGGCTCATCGTCATCTTGTCCTTCTTGTGCTCACCCCTACATACATTCCCCATCCTTCGAACTTACTGAATCATTCCATCTGGTACATCCTCCCTATCTCGTAAGTGTAATGTACTGCTCTACTTCCTCTCTCCTCATCATCACCGTACAGCATCCACTTTCTCCTACGTCTCCTTGTCCTCCTCCTCCTCCTCCTCCTCCTCCTCCTCCTCCTCTCCACCTTCCTACTGCACCCTGCTCCAGATCCTCCCCCATACTTTGTTTTTCTCCTCCTCCTCCTCCTCCTCCGCCTCCGCCTCCGCCTCCTCCTCCTCATCCTCATCCTCCTCCTCCGCCTCCTCATCAAGGCAAGGAAAATTTAAACCGTTTGAGTCAGGGGCGCTTTCCACGAAGAGAAGGCCCCCCCAAGCCGATTTTGGCGGCTATGGCGGAGAGGGAGCGTTTGATCCTGGCGTCGAGTGTCGTCGATGCGTCGTGCAGTGCTCCCTCCCCGCTATAGGCCTCCACTCCTCCCTTTCCTTCCAGACGTGAAGGCCCAGGCGGCAACGTTGCTGCGGCGGCGTGGACCCGCCATCGAGCGAGACCCCCGCAGCCCCCTGGGGGAGCCTGGAGGAGGTGGAGGATTCGGAGGGATTTGTCCTCCCGTTTTTGGTTGGCCTTCGGGGCCGAGGACAGCGGTCCGCGCTCAACTAATCCAGCTAATCCTCCGCCTCCTCCTCCGCTCCTCCTCCTCCTCCTCCTCCCTTCTTCCTCTCCTTCTCCCCGTCCGTACCTCTCACCTCCACATCAGTGCCATGCGTCTCCTCCGTACGTCCTTTCTCCTGGTGCTCCTCCTGCTCATCATGCTTATTCTCCCTCTTCAATCCTCCGTTGCCCTCACTCTCCTACTCATTCTGCTCCTCCTCCTCCTCCTCCTCTTCAGGCTCCTCATCTTCCTCCGTCTGCTCTGCTCCTCCTCCTCCTCCTCCTCCGCGTCCTCCTCCCCCTCCTCCTCCTCCTGTTCCCCCTCCCTCGTCCTCCTTGTCATCCCTCCTCCTCCTCTTCCTGCTCCCTAGTCTTCCTGAACCGCTCAGATCCTCCTCATCGTCTTACTATTCGTATTAACGTTAGTCACACTCCCCTTCCTCATATGATTATCGATCGTGTCGCAGTGCTGCTATTAGGTTGAATCGCCTTGTTGCCTTATGACTATTATCCATATTCCGTTTCGTATTAAGATGCACCGGATTCGTCGAGTTAGTACGATCCGTCTTGCGACTCTGGCGAATGATATTATCAATCGTATCCGTTGTACGCGTCGCATTCTCATCATGACTCATCCTCCTGCTCGTCCCTCCTCCTCCCCAGGTTACTCATCGCCCTTTGGTTCAAGCTACATGTGTTACCTCATTGTGACAAGTCTCGCGACGCACGCTTAGTACTACCAGCATCGTTCCGCATAGAATGTGCATGTCGAGTGTGCACGTTGTCTTTCTCCTCATCATCAACCTCCGCGTGTCCCGTCATCGTCGTCCTTATCCCATAATATCATTATCCTCCTCCTGGTCATCCTGGCCCATGTCCTTCCCATGCCTTCCTCGTCCTTCTTCCCCCCGCTCCCCAGGAAAGCCAAACAGGACGTCACTGGTCGGGGGTGTCAGGCTGACTCCTGCGAAGGTGTGATACGCGTCCCTCCTCGTTGTTCCACGGCTGTCCCTACACATCCATCGTAACGAAAACTTGCCAGCAATCTATGTCTGGAGGGGCTGGCAGGGATACGGAGCGCCTCAAGGATGCGCGTTGACAAGGGGCGCCGGCATGGCCTCAAGCGGCCTGTAAGAAGGCCCATAAGCTCCCAAGAGAGCCCCAAGAACGCCCCAACACGACATCCACAGAGCCCCGATACAGCCCCCGTTCCATCAAAAACTGATTGCGGAATGTACCTAGTGGGGAGGCGCCGTGACACCCGCTCGGTAGCCTCAATCCCACCAACCCACAGGGGCGCAGACTGTGTAAGGCGTTCCTTCTTTCAACGCGACTGATCCCTCCTCCTGGGAGGGCTTAGTCACTGCACTGTAACAAAAAAACGCGACCACAACTTTCCCCACTCGACCGACCGCCGACCCGGAACAACGAGGGCACCCCCGAACCCCACCACCCTACCAGAGCAGCATTCGAAACTGAACCTGGCGGCAAAGTGTGGATCGTGAACGGGCACTCCGCCCACACCTGCTGCATCAATTCCTCTCAGGGTGGGAGGTGATCATACAGTAGGAGCCCGACCACAAGAAACCTTCCGCAAGACACCCAACCCTGAGACCCTAGGACGTCCACTGATCGTTGGTGTGGGAGCGCCACGCCTTCCGTAGCAGAAGTATCGACACCCAAGAAACCCAGGGCACCCTGGAGGCAAGCAGGGTGTTTCTTGGCATTGGTATCCACTGGATTTGTCCGCCGTGTGCTGCCACGCCACCTCTATCAGCAACAAAGTCAAACTGCCTCCGCGGGCCTCTCGCGGCCTCTACGACGGACGCTGACCAGCCCGCCGCCACGCTGCAGCGGCTTGTTTATCCAACGAGGACGGCGGGGGATCGCCGTGTTGCCCGCTGTGTGCTGCCCGATCTGCACCCTCACCTCCTCCTCCTCCTCCTCCTCCTCATCCTCCGCCGCCGCCGCCGCGGCCGCCGACGACGACGACGACGACGACGACGACGACGACGACGACGACGACGACTACTACTACTACTACCTATGGTAGCGTTGGTTGAGAATCGGCCCATCACACGAGACGCGTCAGGCACGCTTGGGCCCCTGGAGCGTGATCCCAAGCTTCGGCTTGATGGCTACCTCACCTCTCTGCTTTCCTGCATGCTCCTAAGTTCCCTGATTAGGTCATCTCGCCTGGCGATCCTTTCTGGATGGGCTGGTCGGGATATGGGAATCGCCAAGAATTATCATTCGTCTCTTGGCCCCGTCGCTGTCAACGTGTCACTGTCCAGCTAGGAATTACGCCAGAGTCGCCACAGCCACAAGGAGACTCGTGTGTGCCGTCGCAGCTGCATGGCTGCGGTCCCACCACGGTCGCCGAATTGTGACTAACCCACGGCACCCCTTCTCAGAAAGGAGTGGGGACCCAGAAGACGGAGGAGGAAAGGGAAAGAGGACATGTCATCACACATGCACCTCACCACCATCCTGTCAGAACCTCGTTGCACCTGGCAGAGTGGCCGACACAGGTCTGCGCGGCAACGAGGGCACTGTCACTGCAACAGCATCGTCCCTACTAGAAAGATGAGTGATGCAGGGCCGCGGACTGGAGCGGTAGATGTTGGCGGCGTTGTGGGGGCAGTCCCGTCCACGAAGCAGCCAAAGCACGAATCGCACCCTGGATGGCAGTAATAACCTAGCACAGGAAAGTACCCATCATCGCAGATCACCTCATCCCAGGTGGCGGATGCATCTGGCTTACAGTCTCGGTCCGAATCTGCACAGGCACCGCAGTCGAGCGATGCTCCAACACACTCCCCGTCGTACTGGTACCCCCCAATGTAGCACTCGGCGAAGCAAGCACTGGAATATGTGGCACCATCGAATCCGCAGACAGGCTCCAACTCATCAGAGCAACCGCAGTAGTTGGAAGTGGTACTGGTGACAGAGGAAGCGACAGTAAAAGCGGACGTGGTCATGAACGTGGACGTGGCAGTGGAAACTGCAGAAATGGAAGTGGCAGAGGAATCGGTAGTAGTGGCAACCACAGAACCAGAAGTGGAAGTGGAAAGGGAAGCAGTGAAAGTGGCAGAGGAAGCGGCAGTAGGGGTAACAAGCGAAGAGAAAGTGGAAGTGGACACGGACGTGGTAGAGCTAGAAGCGGGAGCGGAAGTGGAAGTGGCAGAAGCAGTAGAAGTGATAGTTGACGGCGCGGTAGTCGACGGCGTGATAGTTGACTCCACAGGCGTTGGTGATGAAGTCGGGGCCGACGCGACTGCGAAAGCGATGTCGTAGCAGGTGGGGTCGAGAGTCTTTGCCTCTTCGAAAACGGCTCCCTCCGTGCCAGTGAGCGAGATGTAGCCCATCATCCCGCTGTCCTCGTGGCTGAGGATGTGACAGTGGACAACCATTTTGCCAGTGAACCTGTCGGTGTTCATGCGGGCAACCAGGGTGCCACCTCCTAGGGCTTCGAGGTAAAGCGTGTCGTGCCAGTCTCCAGCTTGGAAATAACCGTTGCCAAGGGAGGCTGCTCCACCCATGCTTTGGATCTGAAACGAGTTGACGTGCCAGTGCATCGGGTGCCCGCCCACGCCCGTGGCCTGTATCTCGTACACGCTGCCCGTCGTGAAGCTCGCTAACGGTGGCCACGCGCTCATGCCGCCCACGTTCTGCACGGCCTGGTACGTCATGCTGCTACCGGCCCCATTCCACGACACCGTCAAGGCGCCACCGTTCAGGGCCAGGGCGCCCGTGTGCCCCTCGGGCACCGTGGCCTGCCGCAGGTCCGCGAGGTAGCACGGGCGCTCCAGCGTGGTGATCGGGAGCGCCTCGACCGCACCGCCGGCGGTCTCTGCGATGGAGAGAGAGAGAAGGGCCACCTCTGCCACGTCGACGGTGGGCCGATTGGGGCCTGGGCCACCCTGGCCCATGCCGCCCCCACCCCCCCCGCCCCCGCCGCCTCCGCCGCCCCCGCCGCCTCCGCCGCCCCCGCCGCCTTGGAGCCTGCGCCCAGGGGCGGAGCTCAAGGTCGCAGTGCAAGGATAGGCGACTCCTGTGCATACGCAGGACATGGCAACGTCCGAGCGAGCTCCCGGGTAGAGGTGGATTTCGGTGATTTCTCTCGGGATCTCGTTCAGGTAGACGCCGTCCTTGGCAAGCAGTTGCAATGTGCAAGTAGCGTCTCCTGTAGTGCTCAATGTAAGCGTCTGCTCCACTGCCGCGTAGACCATGCGCAAGCGGTGCCACACATGAGAGTCGATGGACATGGTCTGCCCGAGCTGGCCGTTCACAAGGAAGACATTCGTATCGAGACCCTGGTTCTCCGCGACCTGCACCGCATTAGTTAGGATCTCGGCATCCCCGTTGCTAGACTGCGCGTCGACGGCGATCTCCTGCAGCGTGACCAGGTTATGGCCCGAGATGAAGAGGATCTTCTCGACCATGCTGCTGTACGCATTTGGTAGATAACCTGAGCCCAGCTGCCTTGATACGCAACATGCAACCCGGAGCGCGTTGACGCGGAGCTCAACATACATATTGAAAACGCATGTCTGCCGCAATACGTTCGCCAACACGCAACGAATTTAAGCCCGGCGTTTTGACCACGGTACGTGTAGCGTTTCAGGGCAGGCGTATCAAGGCAACTGAGAGCCTGGGGGGTCCTCCACGATGAGCGCACCGGCAGCACCACCGCCAGCCTGGAGAGCGGTGGCGTGGTGGCGGTGCGGGTGGTACCAATGCGTGCCGCCCATGTGGTAGTCGGGGATGCTGAACTGGTACTGCTTGGAGCTCTGGGGGTCCACCTCTGAAAATACATCGTCGCTTGCGTACGCCAGCTCATCCGAGCCCTTGGAAGAGACGTGCAGGCCATGCGTATGGAAGTTCGTAGTGGAAGCATGGCAAAACTCAGTCCCGGTGACGCCACAGTCGACATTGTTGACGGGGTCTAGATTATTGACAAGATTCAGAGAAAGAGTATCGCCAGGCTTCATGCGGAACGTGGGCCCGTCCACGTATCCCCTCGACATGATCCCATACGCCCCGTTTGCGATAAACTTATGTCCCAGTTCCAACGTGTACCATCCATCTTCCGCTTTTACCTCGGGGGCGAACGAAAGCTCCTGTGCAGTGAGCGACCTCCCAACCCGAGCCGTCTGATTGCTACACCTGCCTGGATACGCCACGCTAACATTGGCGCAGCGGGCGGTGCAAGCGCTCGCGTAGGTCTCGCCATCATCGCCGCATACCGGATCCGAGAAGTCGCTAAGGCAGTGCCCGCCGACTGCAGACGCCAGAGCTCGTGCGCCGCTAGCACTGGGCAGCGCCGGAACCCTGCGGAAGAGTTCGCCACCCCTGCCGCGCGGTACCTCCACCTGCACCCGCAGGCAGGCCACGTCCTTACCAGCAGCATCGATTGCCCTGATTTTCAGCTTGTAGGCACCCGCGATCACCATCGGCGGCAGCTTGTCGAGAGCGAAGCTCAGTTCGGTGTAGCCCGGGGGGAGGGGACACCGGCACCTGCTGTGCTTCTTGCCGAGATGTGTGCACAGATCCTCCTCGTACTTGTGGGGGACGCTGTGCCACACAAGCTCTCGCTTCATCCAGTCTGAAGTGGACGACCCGCCGGCGGCCGAGCCCTTGTACATCTGTACGCTGACCATGCCTCCCGACACGCTGCGCGAGAGGTTGCCGTACGCGCGCACCTGAAGGTTATCCAGGCTGAACTTCGTGCGCGCCACGTACATCACATCATGCTTATTGCCACAGTCCATGACCTGCATGCCTGCGCCGTGGTCGAGCATCTCTGCCACGGTGACAACGTCACTTTCCTCGTTCCCCTGTCTCGCCATGTCGTCGAGGAAACCCCAAAAGTTGTCGCCCTTCTGGGGTGAGGGAGCTCGGTGAGCAAAGATGGTGGGCAGTTCTGGACCTTTGGGTGCCTCCATGAAAATCTCCCAATGCTAGAAAGCCAACACCAACAACCTGAACAAGGTGGCTGCCAAATCCTGGGTCTCAAGCTGACGTTGTTCACCGCGCCCCCGTTTTTCTTACTATATTTTTGTTCCTGTCTCTCTCTGACTAGTTCTCTCTCTCTCTCTCTGTTATGTATGGGTTCCTCTCTCTCTCTCTCTCTCTCTTGCTGTTGTCTCTCTCACTCTGTGCATATATATATATTGTTTATACATAGGTGCACGTGCGCACATACACACGTACACGTGATGTATGTATACACACACATATACATAAATTAAGATAGGTAAACAGATGTACGACGAAGTATGCGCGATCATATACGCGCACAAACAAGTACACCAATCGCACCCCTAAATGCTTCAATTCCCTCGGCAGTGTTTACGCTTAGGTGTTCGTACTTCTTCTACGATGAAATGGGTCTGGGTGGGGACAAGCAAATAAGAACCCCTTAGGGTTTCTGAGTTTTTTTCCTAACCGTGTTTGCACTTAGTAAGTGCCAGCACGATTTGGGGAAGCTCTATACAAATATGTATATATATATATATGTATAAGAATGTATCGGAAATGGGGAGATTGATGCAGAAATGAAGCGTGAGGGGGCCGAAACGGACAATCGTTTCGTTCTGCTCGTGCCGCGCGTGCGGGCTAGGCGGGGTTGCGCGGTTTCCTACTCGTATTGGAACTACGCCTTTCCACAAACAGTTGGCCCGTGAGCGACGGTTGCTCCCGGCTGCCCCCAAGAATCCCGCCAGTTGTCCCGATGGTTGTCCCGATTATTGTCCCGATGGTTGTCCCGACGATTCTCCCGTTGGCTGTCCCGATGGCTGCCCCGCTGGCTGTCCTGGTGGTTGTCCCGATGGTTGTCCCGATGGTTGTCCCGGTGGTTATCCTGATAGTTGTCCCGATGGTTGTCCCGATGGTTGTCCCGATGGTTGTCCCGATGGTTGCCCCGATTGTTGTCCCGATGGTTGTCCCGATGGTTGTCCCGACGGTCATCCCCATGGTTGTCCCGTTGGTTGTCCCGGTTGTTGTCCCGATGGTTGCCTCGATGGTTGTCCCGATGGTTGTCGCGATGGTTATCCTGATGGCTGCCCCGACGGTTGTCCTTCTGGTTGTCATGACGGTTGTCCAGGTGGATGTCCCGTTGGCTGTCCCGCTGGCTGTCCTGGTGGTTGATCCGATGGTTGTCCCGATTGTTGTCCTGATGGTTGTCTCGGTACATGCCTGGATGGTTATCCCGATGGTTGTGCCCGTTGTTGTCCACATGGTTGTGTCCATGGTTATCCAGATGTGGCCCCGATGTTTGTCACGATCATTGTCCCGATTGGTTGCCCCGATGGCTGTTCGAATGGTTGTCAATATGGTTTGCCCGATAGTTGTCACACTTGTTGTCCTAGTAGTTGAATCGCGAGGTGAAACCGACAGACCAAGTGGTAGTTAGATAGATATGAAGATAGCGATACCGAGACCTAGTGAGACTGAGAGACGGCTGTGCCGATGTTTGCCCCGATGGTTGTTTCGATGATTGTCCCGACGGTTGTCCTGGTAGATAGATAGCGAACCCCAAAAATATATTGGTAGTGGGATAGATAGGTGCCTAACGAGACTGGTATATACTGAGACTTACAAATGCGCTGGCCGATGGATGTCCCGATGGTTGTCCCGAGGACACTCCCGATGCACGATGGCCTGATAGATAGGCCGTGAGATCGACAGTTAGATTGCGAGTGAGATCGGTAGATGTTCATTGCGGCATAGAGATACTGATACCGATGGATGAATGATAGACGGTTGTCCCAATGGTTGTCCCGGTGACTGTTCCGATGACTGCGCCTGTGGTTGTCCTGATGGGTGTTCCAATGGCTGCCCAAACATATTCTGATATCGACAGATCAGCGGGTAGCATGATCGGAAGAGAGGTAGTCAGATCGGCAATTCGATCGGGACGGTGGCCCCGATGGTTGTTACAACGATTACTAGCTAGACAGCACGATGTATAAATAGTCAGACGGTGGTCCTCACATGATCATACAATTTCGCGCCGCCTCTTCATCATTGATACACATGTGGCCACCCCTGTCATCATAGATCTCCCCTCCTGCGGGAGCGGCCGTGTAATAGGATTCGTTCTGAGGCGGTTGTGCACATGAATTCCTTTTTTGCGGCGGCCTTACACAGTTTCCCGTTCTTGGAAAAATGAGAGGGGGGAAAGACTGCTATGCGAAAAAAACCCGGGCAAAACAAAAAGCCCCAAAACGCCTGAGATGTCTAAAGTGGTGTTGGCACGGGAGCCCTATGGCCACACAGCTATTCCATATAGTTGCTGGTTTTCTGGCAAAGGGCACCTCGTCTCCTCCTGTTTATTACCCTTCTCGGCGCCACCCGGAAAGATTGCGCCAGGCAGGGCGGCCCGTGAAAACACAGAGTTGCCTGATATGTCCGATGGCCCTGGTCAGGAAAACCACTGGAAACACATATGCCTGATATTTTTGAAGGTAAAAACCGGAAAAGCATGCGAAACGCACACACACACATTACCAATATGACTGGTGGTTGTCGCATGGAGTCCTTTGTGAAAACAGACATATCTGCATACACATAGTATACACATATATGACATGTGTTGGTCAGCTGGGGAAGGGCGCCCATCCACCTCTTGCCCAGTCTCCTCCTCGACGCCCCCTAGGGCAATGCGCCAGACAGAAAACCGCTTATCTGCAGTAAACAATCTTGAACAACAAATGCCTGATACCGTTGGTGGTTCTGGTACCGCAAGCTTTGAAGCATCGATATTCGTTGTACCTTTTTTTCCTCCAGGTTTTCTGGGGAACGGCGCCCCCCACCCCACCCCCCACCCCACCCCACACCACCCCGCCCCATCGCATTGCACCGCGCCCGCATCAAGAAACGCTGAACATGTCATGACTATTGGTGCTTGTCACAAGGCGTCTTTACG